TGTGTGTGTGCTATACACCCTTAATCCCAGCATTGGCAGGCGGATCTCTTTGAGTTCAAGGACAGGCTGGTCTACGAAGTTAGATGCAGGACAGCTAGGGCTGTTAGAGATACAACCCAGACTGACCTGATAACCCTGAACTTCTTTCTGATCCTCATGCTAGGATTACAGTCATGTGCCACCATGCCAGTTTTACTCAGTACTGGGTGCAAGCAAGAAAGCACTTTCTGAGCCTGGGTGGTATGTGTGTGTGTCTGGGGGAGGGTTGGGGGTGGGAAAGGACACTTTCTCAGCTGAGTGAGCTATGTTCCCAGCCCTAGTGCCCCATTTTATATCATTTTAAACATCTGTGTTGTCTAGCTTTCTGCTGAACTAGGGGCACATCTGATCTACTGAAGGAAACCAAGCCTAGAACTTCAGGTACCAAGTGCTGAATGCAGTTATGTAAGCATGGACTTCTTTGTGCACTGCTTTCTAGGTAGAACTCCTGGGTCAGACAGAAGCCACATCCCTATGACTGCGGGCTGAGACTGTGTGGGGACCTGTCCTCCCTGTCCCTCCAGATGACGCTAGCTAGATCTTTGCCTATCTGAGCAGCAGAGGCAGCCACCACTGTCTTAAAGTGATTTTGCTGCTTTTAAAATTCATTTGACTTTTATGTGCACTGATGTGAAGGTGTCAGATCCCCTGGAATTGGAGTTATAGTTGTGAGCAGTTATGTGAGTGCTGGGAATTGAACCCAGGACCTCTGGAAGAGTAGCCAGTGCTCTTAACCACTGAACCAGCTCTCCAGCCCCTGGTTCTGCTATTAGAAGCTACACATTTTCATAGCCGCTTGCATCTTATAACCTGCTGTGTCTTTCCTCTCCATTCCTTCCTTGTCCAGAGAGCATTCACAAACCCAAGAAGCAACCTCCTTAGTTCTCAGCAACTGGCCATGGGCTTTTCTTTATGTGTTTCATCCTCCTTCCTCTGTTCCCTTCCTTTGGGGCTGTTACTTTGACAATGCAATGGCTGCCCTTACTTTGAAGTTACATGAGCATGTGATTTTTTGATAGGGTACTCTGTAATGACTATTCAAATGGTATATAGGTTCTGTCAATACCTCTGTATCAAAGGGTTCTGTGGATAAAACACATATTACACATGAACAACAAACTCTGCAACACTAAGTTTTCTATGCTGTCAATGATGGGGAAGCATTTGGTATCTAGGAAGGTATATGCCTAGATACCAAAAGCTCTCCTAGCGGCAGTGGAGTACCCCAGTGGGAGAGGGAGAGAAAAAAGGGGAGACAGAAAACAGCTCCCCTCTGGCAGTGGTGCACAACTTTAATGGGAGTGACAAAGGGAAGGAAAAAAAAGGAAGAGCTGGGCGGTGGTGGTGCACGCCTTTAAGCCCAGAACTCGGGAGGCAGTTCGAGACCAGCCTGATCTATATAAGAGCTAGTTCCAGGACAGAGAAACACTGTCTCGGAAAACAAAACAAAGCAAAGCAAAACAAAACAACAACAACAAAAAAACAGGAAGAAAACAGTTACTTGTTTCCACCTGCTGGCCTGAGCAGGCACCTGAGTCTGTGACAGGCTGTGTCAGACCTGATGGGCAAACCAGCCATTCTTCCTGACCAGAAAGCAGGGCTGCTTGTAGCCCATTAGATTTCCTCTCCTGCCTTTGGGCCACAGCTACCAGAGACTCAAGGGGTTCCCTTCCTCACCATACTCCCCACTAGATACTGAGGGCAAATTATTTCCATGTGCTTTGACTTAAAGGAAGTGAGGGCTGACCAGACAGCTCAGTTTGGTCTCTGGGACCTATGTGGTGGAAGAAAACCAGCCCCTACAAGCTGTCTTCTGACTTCCACACGTATGTCACGGTATAAGGACACAAGCCACACATACATGAGATAATATATATATATATATATGAATATTTCAGATTTGAGTACTACAGCTCAAGGAGCACTCTATCCAGGCATTCCTGCAGGAACATGGACTGCAAATGGGCCTTTTCTCTTCCAATAATGAGACATACCAGACCAGTCTGTAGATGTAAACAACAAAGTGCCAAATTATGAATGTTTATATGCACTTAAGTCACTGTTGAACTAATGTGAGGGGGGAAAAGAGCAAGTCACAAAGATGGGATTAAATAAAAACAAAAACTCTGGGAAGTAAAAACAGCTTCTATTTTGGGAATTTCTACAGAATTCTGATGATGCTGACATTCTGCCTAGATGAGTGCAGAGATCAAAAATGCAGCTGAGAGCCTGCCAAAGGCAGGGAAGTCTGTGTCTAGGCGCCGAGAGGCTCCATCCAGAGTAAGGCGGGGCAGACCAGTGCACGGAGCTGGGCAAAGAGGAAGCTTGCCCATCTTGGTGCTGATGGACTTTTTTAAAAAAAATCCTCTGCCCCAGTAACGAGAAGTACAAGTCTCTTTTTCTAATGTGTGCTGTCTAAATTCTTAGTATGGGGGTAGAAGGGCAGAGGAATCCTGCAAGTTTTAGTCTTGGATGTACTCTGCTTTGTCTTGCCTCCCTCCTTGGTTTGACGAGCATTTGGTTTTTTGTTTGTTCAAGACGGGGTTTCTCTGTATAACCCTGGCTGTCCTAGAACTCAGAGATCTTTGCTGAGATTAAAGATGTGCACCACCACGCCCAGCTGGATTGATGAGCTTTAATATCAGGCTTAAGGATGGAGAAATTAGGCCAAGCCTTACCACTATAGGTGTCACTGGCAGCCGTCACAAAGCAGGGAAGCAGTCTGTAGTTACTGAGGGCCACCTTGTGTTCACACCTTGAAATAGCTCACTTAGTTCTCAGCCCTACAGGGTGGATACCACAGACTCATAGACAAACTGACACAGACTTACTGTAAAAAGATAAGAGCTGGGGGTCAAACCTAGCCTTGATGCCAGTGGCTACTAACCATGACTCCCAGAGACCTGTGGAGGTCACTAGCTGCCCATTGCTGCCTCAGCTTTGTCTCTGAAACTAGGCTTCAAATGCCAACTCACGGGATGCTTAGGTCAAGATGCTTCTCTGAACACCATCACCTGCAGAACAGTACTAGCACCACCTGCTGGCCGGGGCATGCGATGCAGGGGCTCTGCCAAGGTGCCAGGTTGAGCTGGGAGCCAGAGATTAATTACACTGCACCCAAGTGGCCTCTTTGGTTGATGCTCCAAGTTCAAGCACAATATAGACCCCCTGTCAGTTTCACAGTAAAAGGACATGGCTTTGAATGTTTACAGACTCAAATGCTTCTAGAGTACACTAAGCACCAATCCATTTCATAGCAAACACATTCTCTTTGTTCACCAGGCCTAGTAAGGCTCCTAGACCCTATACTAGGACTGGTGTGGCTGGTGACTACAGGAAGGTGGAGCCATTTAGAAGCCATCAAGCCCCAACTGAGAGTTGCTTGCTTTATCTCCCATCAGAGCAGCTGCAACTATGAGCAAGAGACCCCCGAGACTGGGCCTATTGACTGTCAATATTCTCTCATACAAGTAGGTGGAGAGAGTCGCTGAACCCTCACTTGTTCCTGCAACTCCTGGCCATCTGTATGTACTATATAAACTGGTATGCTATAAAGAGGGGTGGCTATTTGTTTACATTTCTGGTATTTGCTAGGACTCCCCTATCTGCGCACATACCACATACTTCACACCATTTCTGGCTTTTTTTTTTTTTTTTTTTGGTGAATTATCAAGTTTATTGAGATGTGTAGGAATCTGAGCAAGGAGCACAGATGATACAAAGGCAGCTTCACCACTGAAAAGTCCAGCCCAGCATGGGCCATGACTCACCAAAGATGCTCCCTGTGGTCCTGTATCATTTGCAGAACAATTGCTGCTTACCTTGGGGGGGCCTCAGTGATCATTTGACTTCCAAGTGCATCCTGACCTTGTAAGCTGTCTTCCCTCCTGGGCCTTGTGTTTCCCTTACTGCCCAAGTCTCAGAAACCTATTTTCTCTTTTTAGAAAGGACATTTCTGGCTTTTTTACATTAGGCACTAGGGATCGAATTTAGGGTCTCATGCTTGCTTAGAAAGCACTTACCAACTGAACTATGTCCCCAGCCACTGTAAGTTTACTGGATACACTTTCAGGGAGCAGCAGGCTGCACAGTAACTACAACAGATGGTTTCTCTATCCTGGCAGATCGGGTAACTCTGAATTTCCTGGATCCCAGGACTTGCTGGCAGCACATATCCAGAGGCTTTGTGCTGTGCTTACAGTACAGACTATCTTGACTTGTCCACAGCCTCTAGGTGACGCCTCACTTCTCAGCTCTTCCTTCCCAACAGTCTCTCATCTGTACACACAAGCTCCCTTTCCTCACCCCAACCCTGCACACACACCTCACCTCACAGCAGGCTCCCAACACCAGCATCCTGGGGATGGTCCCAAGGCCCTCCTGGGCACACCTAATGGTAACTTGCCCTTCCACTCCACATCTCCTTTATCTTAACCTCAGAACCTACAACTTTTCTCCTCCTCTTTAGCCCCCTGTCCCCAGGTGACTTCCAAATGTAGCACAGTCACAGGACCCTACATTAATCCCCCCTCCCCACCAGGGTTTCCATCTAACTTTTTATTTACTGTGCATTAACTGTCTCCCCTGGGAGCAGCTCTACTTCAGCGGATTAGCTGCCAGTCAAGAAAATCTCTTTGGCCAGCTGGGAACAAGTTTGTATCACCCACAACTGAAGTTCCCCTGACAATCCATTCACAGCAACCACCAACAGGCTAAGGCTAATCTAATTCCTCACCACATTTCATTCAGGCTTGTGAGAGAGTAAGCACAACATGATTGATGGAGGCACTGGAAACAAGGTCCTGCCCGAGCAGGGGAGACTTTTTTGACAAATGGCTTCTAGGCTTTATTTTTGCTGCAGGGGAGGCTTCCTGATAGCCAGTGTCTCACATTTTGGTCTCTCCCCTTGTTCTTCCCAACTCAGGGTCTCTCTGGCAGACGGACGCAAGGAGATGACAATATTTACTGAGTGGATTTTTTTTTTTTAATGAAACTAGATCACTGCTTACAAAAACCAGCACAAGCTCTCCTGCCCCTCCCCTTCACAGTTCCCTTGGCTCACCTCCCTGTCTCAGAAGAGCTGAAACAGAGCAGGCATGGAACAGCTGCCACTGCTGGGGGAGGTGCCGGACTACAACTCTGAGCATTTATAGGGTGACAGTTCCTCCATGTCCGTTCCCTGGGGCCTGAAGGCTGCATGGATAGCAGTGTTCCATGTACCCTAGCTCAGACCATCATCCAGACCAGAATGAAATGACGTGAATGCCCCTGCCCCACCAGACCTCCCTCTTCCTAAGGTCCCACCCGCCCCCCAACTCTAACCCACTACTGAGATGAGGCCCAGAATTGTGAGAAGGCATAGGGCCTACAGACTGTAGAATTTGAGGCTCCTGTCCATGCCAGTTGAAGCGATGAACTTGGCGTGGTGACCAAAGGCCACTCCAGTGGTCAGGCCACTATGCTCTGAGGAGAGAAAAAAGGGAACTATAAGAAAGAAGGCTGTTTCTTCTTCGGGGCTGAAGAATGACATTGAATGCCATGACCCTGGCACAAACCCAGATGGTAAGGGTCAGAAGGCACTGTAAGACACCCTCCCAAAGACAGGGTTCTGTTCACCACTTATTTTAACCAGGACTCAGCACCTGGCAAGAAGCGGAGGTACTCAATCTTTTGTTGGCGGGATAAATTAACAGAGGAATACCAATTCCCTTTCACCTGAGCTTTCTGGGCAAGCATACTTCAGCTGGAAAACTCAGTGTTCATTCAGTATGTATGTTTACCTTTAGCTCTTTGCTTGGACCTGGAATGGTCCATTAGCCAGTTCTAGCTCAAACATGTCAAAGTCCAGGGCACACAATACAGGACTGGATCCAGAATAGAAAAAGCTGAGCTATCTTCCTCACAGGACTCAGATGGAGAACCAGGGCAGGTTCTTTCCAGAGTTAAGAAAACACCCGGATCTCACCAGCTCTCCAGAGAAAAGCCCTCTTGTGCTCCCAGCTGGCCTAAACTCAAGGTGATTCTCTAGTTTAGCTATCAAAAATTGAGATTACAGGTGTGAGCTATCACACCCAGCAAGATCCCCTAAAGTTGAGGCTATAGCAGCTACTCAAGGCCATAGGTGACTCTAAGGTGAGAAACCCTCTTGTGCACCACTGTCAGCCTGACTTCCCTTTATTACTTCTAGTTATCCTTGTGTTGTAGTTATACTTGTGTTGGGGCTTGAATACTTGCTACTGTGGGAAAGGCCCCAGACTCCATCTCCACACAAAGGAAAACTGCCTAACTTGACTTTAAACTTCATCACTCACACATGATAGACCCCAATAAAGTTGACAAAAGATAAAAAAAACATGGGCTGGAGAGATGGCTCAGAGGTTAAGAGCACTGACTGCTCTTCCAGAGGTCCTGAGTTCAATTCCCAGCAACCACATGGTGGCTCACAACCATCCATTATGAGATCTGGTGCCCTCTTCTGGTGTGTAGATATACATGGAAGCAGAATGTTGTATGCATAATAAATAAATAAAATCTTAAAAAAAAAAAAAGATAAAAAACATGCCAGGTGTGGTGGTGCACATCTACTGTCCCAGCACTTGGTAGACAAAGACAGGACGACCTCTGTGAGTACAAGGTTAGCCTGGTCTACAAAGTAAGTTCCAGGACAGCCAGGGTTTGTTATACAGAGAAATCCTGTCTCAAAAAACCAAAACAAACAAACAAAAAAACCTTCATTACTTCCCAGACTGGTTCTTTTTCATTGCTCAAATCAAGAGCCAATACCAAATAATATACCACAAGACACTGCTAACCTATGAGTTGCATGCACTTTCATGTAAACCCCTATATTTCCTACTGAGTGTTTGAAATTATCATTTCAATTTTCCTAAGGCACCAGAGAGATTACAAATTACAGAATTTGCTCCTCAACACACAACTTGGGAGAGGCCAGGTAGTAACACAACTCACAGCCAAACAGACTCACAAATGCTTTTCCTAGGCTACAATGCTCTACTGCCCCCAGACATAAGTAAAAGCAGCCTGGGGGTTGGGCTCAGTAGTAGGAAACTTGGTCAGGTTCCACTCCCAGGACAGCAAAAGTAGGAATAGTTTGGGCCTATCTAGGCCAAGCCCAGAGCTTCACCACCAAGTGAAGCTTCCTAGAGCAGATGTACAAGGCCCCGGAAAGCCACAGCCAGCCTCTACCTGTAAAGTGAAGAATCTCTGTCCACTGTTTGCAGATATAGATCTGGACATCTGTACCCCCAAGAGCCAGGTAGGTACCACTCTGGTCAAAGATCAGTGACTTCACCTGCCAAACCCCAAAGAAAGGCAATTACACAAATGTCAAGCCACAGAACAACTGGGACAAAGAGAAGCAGTTCACATGAACTCAGAAACCATCAGGGAGTGAGGACAAACAACTAAGACTGGGGAGGAGCGCACCTCAAAGTTGTTATCCAGCTGCAATGTCTTAAAGTTCTTCAGCTTGCGTAAGTCCCAGAGCTTGACTGAAGAGTCATCGGCTGCTGTGGCCAGGTAGTACCCATTCTCAGAGAAGGCGATACTGGTAATGGGGCCAGAATGGCCAGGGAAATTGGCCACATTGGTACGCTCCTACAGGTGGTGGTTGGACAAAAAATTATCACTTACGGGTTAAGATAGGAAGGGGCTTACCAAACTTCATGTCCTGTGCACCCACAGTTCCTTGGTGACATTACCATGCCACACAAACAAAGCCAGGCTTTCCTAAGCCTTGAGAAATCCTGGGGCCTGCTGACACACCTCATCAGTTCCTTCTCTAAGAGGCCTGCATGTCCTACCTTCAAGTCCCAGATCTTGATCTGGGAGTCCATGGTTCCTGTTCCAAAGATGAGCCCATCAGGATGGAACTGTGCACAGGTAAGAGCTGAGGAAAGGGGACAGGGATCTGTAGTCAGTAGTCACCGTGGCCTCTACACTGGTGCAGTGGTAAACACTGTCTTTAGAACAAATAAGCAAATGACTAAGTAAAACTTAAAGACAAACTGCAAACAAAAGAGTTCAGTGCCTCTAAGGACACTTACAGCAGCCGGAAGTCTCATCTGTCACCTTGGTGAGCACGCGCCCTGTCTGGATGTCAGAGAAGGCCCAGTACTGGAGGTGAGACAAAGAAGCCAATGAGTAAGCAGGTCTGGTAGCTGAGACCCTGATTCAGCACCTACTGGCAAAGATAGCTCCCACAACAGGGAAGAAACCTTTCCAGAACTCTGGGAATCTGGCTGCCCCAGCAAGATGGCCCTTCCTCCCAGGGTGAGTAGGCAGCCTCCTCAGGGCCCTAGCTGGGACTGTACCTGATCATCAGAGGAACTCAGGAGATAGTCTCCAGTAGCATGGAGGCTGAGGCCTGTCACTGCACTCTCATGGGCTCGAACAACCTGTACACAGGAGGTGTTTGGGACCGACCAAATCCTGATAGTCGCATCTGGGGATGCAGAAAACACCAGTTCCTGAAAGGAAAGCAACCAAGAATCAGATCCTAGGAAGTGAAATGTACTATAACACCCTTTTCCACAGTGAAAAGGACAGCCATAACTACCAGCAACTGCTTCTCCTTCTAGTCCCTCTCTGCCTGTAACCACCTATCTAAACAACAGTGCCTAAGAAAGCCAAGAAAAATAAATGCTGCTGAAATGGCCACACTGAGCCAAGTTGAGACCCTCACTACTTAGTAGTAAACAGGGCAACTGCAGCTGAGAGCTATTTTTGCCCCCTTTTAAAGCTGGGTGGAACTGAGGGACTGGAATCATGTGCACCTGCAGCTAAAGACTACTGGACTAGATGGCACAGATCTGAGCAGACTGAGCCTGTAAAGGAATATAAGGTCATGTTCCCATGTTCCTCACACTTAGACCCAAGGGCATGTTGATTGTCCAAAAGACCTGGGGCAGACAGAGAGCTTATTTAGTTTCCCAAATAAATTATTTCCACTAGTTAGGACAGTAACAGCCAGAATATAACAGCAACTATCCTTTCATTAACACATACTCATAAAAGCCAAAAGTAATACTAACAACGAATAAACAGGAAAAAAAGTACTTCAATTTGAATTAGTTTTTCAGTTTGCTATAGCTGTGATGGTTTGAATGAGAATGGCTCATATATGTGGCTGCTTAATCACCAGGGAACGGCACTATTTGAAAGGATTAATAGTGTGGCTTTGTTGGAGAAGTATCTCATTGGGAATAGGTTGGTTTTGAGATTTCAAAAGCCCATGTCAAACAGTGTGTGTGTGTGTGTGTGTGTGTGTGTCTGTCTGTCTGTCTGTCTGTCTGTCTGTCTGTCTCAGCTACTGGCCCAGTGTCAGGCTTGCCACCATGCTCCCTGCCATGATGATAATGGACTAACCTCTGAAACTGTAAGAAGCAATCCCCCAATTAAATGCTTTCTTTTATTAAGAGTTGCTGTGATCATGGTGTCTCTTCATAGCAAAAGAGCACTAAGACACAAATAGTCCTCTATTTCTCAGTTCCTTAAGTCTAAGAGAAAGACTTAACTGGGAGGCACTGTTTCAGCACCCCATGCAGCTGCATACCAAGCCACAGTACTCAACTCTTATGAGACCATTAATCTCCTCTAATAGCTACCTTTATCCTCTTTTCTATTTGAACTCACACCACTTTCAACAGCCAACATTTAATTTTGAACCCAACCACACAGGGTGTCATGGGAACAGACACCTAGCAGTCAGGACTATATAGAGCTTTACTGTCTGTAGTTTATCTATAAAAGCTCTAGGATGTTTGTTTTCTTTTCCTAATGCAAAATTGATGTGAATGTGCTTTGTTGGTTGCATTTTCCTTCTCCTTTGGTTTGAGGGCCACAGCTTTGGGGTTCTACACAGAGACCCATCAATGCCCAGTTCAGTTCATCAAAAAGGTAGAGATTGGGTGACTGGTTCTGAAACACAAAACTACTGGAACAGGACTTAGGAAAGGACAAGGGTGGCTGTGAAAGTACCTTACCTGAGAAGGATGAAACACCACGCTGGTGACCTTCTTGGTATGGCCTTTAAGAGTGGCCAGGATTTGCTCAGTACTCTTATCAAAGACAACAACGTTTTTATCTGCCCCACCTATAAAATATCCAAAAAAAGACAAAAAAATGAATCAGGCCTATAAGGATCCCAGTGCTAAAGAAGGTCTTTCTGTCCTCAAATCCATGCAGAGAACCAGGGGCTTGCACCTTCCCTTGCTCCTGCCATCTCCCACCTTGACCTATCAGGCCAGGCTCAGACTCACCAGTGAGAATCTTGTTGGTGTCCGAAGGACAGAGGTCCAGAGCAAGGATCCCAGGAATGCTAGCACTGTGTAGCCCCTATGCAGACAGAACCACACAAAATCCAGTCACAGCCAAATCAAGGCAGACCAGAGAGCCACACAGCTCCTCCACTCCCTATACCCTTTGGTATTCCTCCTCAGGCAAGGAACAAGAGTGAATTTTATCCCTTATCCATCCAGCTTGGCTGGCTGCCTGGATGCAGCAACTCCCTCACTGCATGGCAAGAAACCATGTCAGAGGCCTGAGCAGCATTTGCCCCTGCTCCTCATGCTGGCCCATCTTGCCCTAGAAATAGAGTCACCTCCAGCTACTTACCACATGGGATGCCACCTGCCGGTACTTGCTGAGCTCTTCGGGTTTCACCAGCTCCTCAGGCACAGTCTTTCCTCTCTGAGAAAACAGAAAAGACCCCAAAGAGCAGCAATTGAATATAGGTTTCAACTAGCCCCTCCTCCAAAAAGCCAAATGCTCACACCAGGGGTCAACTCACCTTCTTACGCTCCGTGGTTAGAACAGTGGCCTTGTCTTGAAGCTGTGGAGAACAATTTTCTGAGAAATGATTTTGCAAGGACAAAGCACGCTGGGTGCTGGTACATCTGGTATCATAAGCATCACCAAAAACATGCTATTTGCCAGGTTATGTGCTAAAGCTGACACATTTCCACTCTGGTCTTATAAGGTGAGGTATCCATGACCTTATGGTACAACTGAAAAAACTGAACATCAAAAGACTCACCTCCCCCCACCCAAGGTTACTAAAGTGACAAATGGTAGAACTAGTAGGGACAGAGCTAGGCTGTTGTGTTCTGGGACCAGGTCTAAGGTACAAAAATTAGAACTCAGACACTGTTGGACCCCACAAATGCAGACTGTACATTCAACAGAACCCTGCGATGCAGTCTGGAAGCCTGCCTTGCCCCTTCTCAGCTATGACTTACAGTCACAGACTCCTCATCTTAAGATAACTTCTATCTTGTAAGCAAAACCTGTCACAAAGTGGTTTAATATCAGCAAAGACCACAAAAACAGCAAGAGCTATAAGCTGCCCTTATCAGTAATTAAGTCTTCCCTACAACAAGCCTGTGAAGTGCATACCTCACTCTATTTAGAAACAAGGGAGCCGGGCGGTGGTGACGCCTTTAATCCCAGCACTTGGGAGGCAGAGGCAGGCGATTTCTGTGAGTTTGAGACCAGCCTGGTCTACAAGAGCTAGTTCCAGGACAGTCTACAAAGCCACAGAGAAACCCTATCTCAAAAAAACAAAAACAAACAACAACAAAAAAAAGAAGCAAGGAAAATGAGACAGAGAAAGGCAGGCTAAAGTCAGCCTAGTCAGAAAACTCAAGAGTGGCAGGGCAGGCTTTCCACTGCTCAGGGTGAGATTCTTACTCTAGCCCCAAGACCCATGGCACTGAGTTAGGAGGACATGTGGCATTCCCAGCAAAAGAGCATATGACTCACCTTCTGGATAATCTCAGGGGTCATTCCCACCAGCTCACCCAAATCCATGGGCTCTCCTGCACCCTGGAGAAAAGAAAGGGAGAATGGGAGGAACTCACAATACCAAAGGCACCTGTGTAAGGACAGCTATTGGGGCTTGGAATGGAACACTTACCACAACACTGGGCTGTGAGCTTGGCACGGCCTGAGGTACAATAAGACCAGCCTGTGGTTTCAGAGTAGCCAGAGCTGAGAGAAAAGATGATGTTAGAAATGGGACATTACAAAGCAGAGCCAGCAAAGGGTAGGGGACAGCAGGGAAGAGGAGACACCTTCTCGAGCAGCAGTGACTTCCTTCGTGAGACGGGCAATGACTCGGCAGGCAGCATCGTGTTGGTACAGAGCATGGGACAGCTCCTGGCGGGTTGTCTGCAGTTGCTGGCGAAGGGTGAAGCTGTGCAGCATGACTGCATCCTGGGAGGGGGTAGGCCACTGTGAGGACTGGGGGAGAGCTGGAGAACTCGGCCAGCCCTGGAGAAGAGGACACCACCTCCTATTCTACACTGAAGCCAACCTGAACTACTCAGAGACCCAAGCTAACATATGAGTGACCCTGAATGCCCTGTAAGGCATTCAGGCTCCTACTCCACACCACACCCTGGACACATAGACAGAAGCAAGATCTGGCTCCTTCCAACCCCCAGCTTTGCTTTACTTCAGCAGTAAAGCACATATGTTAATGCCATCACTTCTCTGAAAGGAAATAATGCTGCTGTGGTTATTTACTAGCTACCCTCAGCAAGTGCAGTGCTCAGTAATGAAAGAGAGTCCCTGACGTCACAAGGCAAATTTGTCAATTTTATTCTACTTCTTACAGAGTACAGACAGACAGGACTAATCAATGTCCTATAGTCAGGAAGGTCAAGCCTCAGAGACTGAGCAGTGTGCCCCAAGTCACAAAGGCTGACAGTGGAGAAAACTTTGGAATCCAGGTCTGCAAGACTTCCAACAAGCAGGCTCCTCTTGTGCTGCCATCCTGCTCCTCACAAATGAAATATGGCTGGCAAGAAATGAGGGGGCTGCTCAGTGGTACAGCATTTACATTAGCCCTGTGTTCATCCCCCCAAAGAGTCAGGCCTGGTGGGCACTTGTAATCCTAGGCACTAGGAGGCTGAGGAGGAAGCATCATGAGTTTCCAGACCTGTCTAGACCACAAAGCAAGGCCCTATCTCAAGAAAATAAGAGAGCCTGGAGAGACAGACAGTCCAGGAGTTAAGAGCACTTGCTGTTCTTCCAGAGGACCCGGGTTCAATTCCCAGAACCCACATGGGGGCTCACAACGGTCTGTAACCACAATTCCAAGGGATCACACACCCTCCCCCTGCCTCCCAAGCACCAGGCACATAAGTGACACACAGACATACATGTAAGCAAAAGACCCATACACATAAAATAAAAAATTAAAAAGAAAAGGAGGGCAGTCCCACCTTTTTAATCCCCAGGCCCAGAGGTGCATACTCTTCAAAGAACTCACCCACTCATCCTGCAAGGCTTTCAGAATGGCTGGGATGCTGGTGGCAGAGGGAGGCTTGGGCCGAATTGGGTGAGCAACTGCCAAGAGAGGCAGCAAAGCAGGTATGAAGAACCAGAACCCCGGGGGCTCACCCCTCCCCCACCCCTCCTTTCTTTATTCATTCACAGCCACCATCTTCTCCACCAGACTGGCTCCTCCTCCCACTCTTGAAGGCTGAGTTGAGCTGGCCCTGGACTTAGGCTATCGGTCGGGCGGGCACCTTTGATGTCGATGAGCTGCTCCTCTGAGAGAGGCTGGTTGTTGATAGGATCTGTGCCATTCTCTGCAATGTACTTCTCAATGAGCCGCCGCTCGTACACATGATTAGAGACAGGGGACACACATGGGTGCTCTGGCACTTCGTTGGAGACTATAGAGAAAGGCAGGTAGTGAACACAGGGTAAAAGGAGGCCTGGGCTAGATTGTATCGGCCCCCCACAAGACCCTGTCCTCATACTCAGCTATCAGAAAGCAAGGTCTGTGACAGCAAGCCAGCTGGTACTTGGCCCTAGAATACTTGCCAACTACTTAACTAGGTTCTCTAGTCTGCTGATAATAAAAGCCAGTAAATAATAACTATATGTCAGTCCCATAAAGAGTGGTCAGTATGCCCTGCCATCTCATTTTTGAACAAATATGACTGACTAGGCATATGACAAATAAGTACACACAACTCAAACCCCTGCCATTCGTCTGGAGCCCTAGATGGAACAGGCAGAAAAATTTCTAAGCAATGTGACAAGCACTGATAAATTAAAAAATAAATAAATAAAAAACCTTTCTATAGTGTCTGCTACTGTGTGCCAAGCAAGATTCTATTCTAGGCACTTGACAGAATAGTCTGTGTACCCTTGAAGATGGGCACCACAGCTGTCACTGACCTCCAGGACAATGCAGATACTAAGCAGACACTTGATAAACATCAGAACATGGTACATCCTGGGGCTCAATAAAAAATATCCCAAAGTATGGAGCCTGGTAATGCTGAACTACCAAAAAGGAAGAACTCAAAAGCAAGCTCAGAATCAAGGTCTCTCTGACCTTCTCAGGCCCTCTTGTTTCTCTAACGTCCCCTAAACAGGGACAATTGGTTCACCTCAGCAGACGAGTGAAAGCAACCTCCACACTCAAGACTCTTCTGAGAGAGATTATTTATTGCCCGAGAGACTTATCACGTAACAGAACAGCTCTTATTCACCACATAATTCTGTTTGCCTTCCCACCTGAGGCCTCAAGCTCCTATTCTCTTCTGTGGCACATGGGTCTGTACAAGCTTCCCTTAGAATCACCTATTTTTGCAGGATTCCCATGCATAAGTAATGAAGTATGGGAGGAAACATGGCTTTCCTGTGCTATTCTGTTGGCTTATCTCACTCACATACTCAACCACTGAACACTTGAGTGAGCTTTCCCTCCCCTACAAAAAGGAAGGATGGCCCAGGGCATGTAAGCGTGCTCTCTCAAGATTAAAAGGAAACAAATCGTTCGAAAATACTTTGCAAACTGAAATTTCTTATGTGTGATGTGAATTCCCTTTTCTGTTTGTCACTTCCCTCCTTCCTTTCCCTCTTTGAATTAATGGCAACGTTCTGAGAAGAGAATGGAGAGGGAGGGGAAGCTAGTGATGTGGTAAACAAGAAGGTAAACACCCGCAATGCCGTTAACAAAACACCCAATGACAAGACAGCATACAGTATGGAAAAAGCATGGATCCGGGCTCAAAGAACCGAGCTCCACCGCCCAGCTGTGCCGCACACCCCTGGATAAACCTCATGCTTCCTAAGATTTCTGACGCCCTCTCTAAATCACGGATCTTTATTTCCATTCAGACAATTTTTTTTTGTAAGCATAAAATGGGATCATCGTTTGGAAGTGCGTCGTACATCAATACAGGTCTCCTAAATGGTCGCTGTTTTCATTAGTCATACTGCGCGAGGCTAGAAGCCAGACACCTGGCTTCCAGCCTTGCCTCCAAGTCACTGCGTGATCCCTGCAAATCGCAGACACATCGATGCCTAAGCGACGTTCCCGAGCAATACCCACTGCAACGCTTTCAATGGATGCTGCTGCAGATGGGGAAACTGAGGCCCTGGACCGCTGCTGACCAGGTCACAATCGGAGGCGGATGCTGGACACGTCCTCGGTTTTCCCACACCAGGAGCTGTTTTTCCCTGCACCAACTCCCCCTTCCCACCCCCCCACCCCGGTTCAGGCCCGCCTCCGCTCAGTGTAACAACCACAGTCATTCTTCCCAGCTACGTGAATTGCGCGGCACTGCGCAAATGCACCCCGCACGCAGGGCCGCGGGCTCCGGGGCCCCGGCCGCACCCA